TTTTTTTTTGAATATGTTTTCAATTGAAAAATTGCAATCTGGCAGGTAGGGTGAAAAAAAAAAAAAAAAAAAAATGGAGAGATCGGTTAGGCTACCGCTATGTACCAATGGGGGCTGTAGAAAGCAATGGAAAAAGTTTGTGCACTGTACAATTTAGAGTTAGCCTAACTAATACTACTGTCTGGATTAAATTTTCAGCCATGTTGCGCAGCTGTTGCTGGACTAGTGTAGCCTCAAAATTAAATTTTATAAAGAATACATATAAGTTTACATGTGATAATATACAAAATTCACTCAGAAATAATATACGCACCTGAACTGCAAGATTACCGTTTTCCTCCCACTTTCAATAAAAAAATAATTTAAAAAATAATAATCTGATGACAGGGGAGAACCCCACCCCCCACCCCCCCCCCCCCCCCCCAAGTTATGTACCAAAAAAATAAGAAACTAAGTATCTTCTGGCTTCTGGGGAGGAAAGACCCCTTCCTAGAATCCCACCTCACCTTTCAAAGATAGAAATTAAGAAACAAAACTTGCATTAAAAGTTGATGAGGTGAAAACAAACATAATAAAATATAAATATCATCATTATACTAATCAGTTTTAATCTTACGTTTGAACACGTCAATGCACACCTGACGTGTACTGACCACAGGCAAAATAACGAAGTCAGAATCTGTAACAGACCGACACCGGCCAAAGCAATTAGACCACCTTCAAAATAATCATCAATGCCATACACGGTCGTCCATACATATGCCCATGCAGCATATATGAAGAGAAAGGGGAAAACATATCCATGTAAAAGAAGAGGTCGCAGATTATAAAATGACAGACGCTGAATTTCTTCTGTCAAGGGGGCAGCCATATTAACTGACAGGAAGAACACATATCAACGTAATTTACGTAAATAAACGAAAATAATATATATTGGATCAAGGTTGTAAATATTTATTTTTTTAATTTTTTTTTTTTTACATCTCTAAAAAATTTAGTGTAACCAGTGTTTCTTTCAGACATTTTCCCCCAGGGTGGGGGGGGGGGGCTGTGCCCATTTGCCAGTGGCCAGAGGCATAGCTAAGGGGTGGCAGATGGGACATGCGTCCATGAGGCGCGGACTAGCGGGGGGGGGGGGCTTTGATGGTATTTAAAGGTTGAAAATAATCAGTTTCAGAGTTAAATGGGAGGGGGTATAAAATAAATCTTGTTCCTTAACGCCAAAGACTGCAGATACGCCCCTGCTAGTGTCGTCGAAATAGGGCGGTTATGGTGGTCCACCCAGGTGTCACTCTTTCTTTATATGCAGCAGGGCCGTTCTTGTGATTTTGGGGGCCCTAGGCATGGGGC